ATCATCATCATCATCATCATCATCATCATCATCATCATCATCATCATCATCATATCACCATCATCATCATCATCGGCATCATCATCATCATCATCATCATCATCATCATCATCATCATCATCCCCCTGACGAAAGAAATCCAAACCTATTTTGTCAAATGACCTAATGCTAAACTGGTAGCAAATCGTACAAAATCTTGTTACAAAAATATGCACTCTAGCATACTCGTACATAGCTTAGTATGGATAGATCAATTCTTGTTGAAGACAGTACATCATGTTAGAACCCACAGGGAGCACGCCGGACGTTTAGAACAATATGTGAGGCAGCGTGGTGGAATCAGGCTCTCGTCAATTTTGGGGCACATTGAGTTACTGGTATCATCTTACAGCTTGTTCATTTGTCTTGCTTTCAATGAAATAATTACCCATCCATCTTCAATAGAAGTAGAACTATTTTGAATTGAAGGAGGTGGGAGTCACCTGATTTAAGAGGTAAAATTAGCGAGAAAATGGCCGCCAAAGCTTGGTAAATTCCAAAGCTGGAGAGTCCATGGAAACTGTAATTTTATATTTTTGTGCCTTTAATCAACGTTTTCGGTGAAATCCTCAAATGAATGTGTTTGTAAATGGACATAAAAGGTGTTGAGCCAAAAAACAAAAAGTTGATAAAAATTGCTAAGCAGGGAGAAAACTGTTGTTTTCTTCAATCTCAGTATTTTCACGAGAGCCTGATTCCACCACGCTGCCTAACATATTGACATGGACACTGTTAGAACACAGACCCTGATAAAAAGAGGAGTTTAAAGCATTTCTAAAGAAAGATAGAATCCTAACTCTTCGAAGTGAAAAAAGAAGAAATTGTTAAGCGTGCATTTGATTATAATACGTTAATATGTAGTGTATTAATGTTTGTGTATTATTATGCTGTAGAAAAAATTACAGAAGTGTTGACTGAAGCAAATTAAAGACAACAGCTTATGACGAGTATACGAAAGCGACAGGCAAATTTCATTGGACACACAATGCAAAAAGAAGCATTGGAGAATATTGTAACAACAGGCAAGTTTGATGGGAAGAGAGGCAGAGACAGACTGAGGGAAAAGATACTGGACAAGTTGACAACATGGCTGGGAACAGTAAGAACAACAGACACCATCGTTGCAAAGCAAGACAGATTGAAGTGGAGGTCCATGATCGCCCATGCCAGTCGGCAAGGCACCGAATGATGATGATGATTATGTTGTGGGTACAATAATTATTTCGTTACTTATATTTTCATCTCATCATTTATCCCAGTTATCTTTCCTTTATTCTTTGATGGGTGTTATGCTTCATGTGTTAATGTCTTTTGACCTGTCTCCAAGTTTCTATTTTAGAAAAGTTTTAATGTTCAAATGAAAGGTTCCGTTCTGCCTATGGTATTCTTTATAATCCGTTTATCTATTCAATTGGAGTAAAAAAAAACAAAGGGGGAGGGGGGCGAATGTTCATTCCACCAGTTATACACGTTACTTTTTTAAAACTAGTATGGATCGTTTATTCACACATCATACATGTACTGTAATAAATCAACATGATTAAATATTGACTAATTTAGGTTCAAAACGCCCCAAGCAAAATGAATACTTTTTAGAACTCCTTTGCAACCCATCCCCCTTCACCTTTTCTTTCTCCCCACCCGAGCCCTCCTCTCAACACTGGTGATATTCGTATCTCCCTTCAGGGAGGTATAATTTCAAACAAGTTCCGATCATGAATCAAATAAAGCCTTTATCCGTACAAGACCAGCTTAATAAATGACGTCAGACGTGTTTGGAACAGAAAAAAGGTGTAGTCATCGTTTTAAAATTCAGCTGGAATGTAATCATCGAAGTAACCAAAATAGAATGTTTGCCTACTATTTTTTCTATTCAATACATTTTATAGCTGAGCGCTTTATTGCTGTAAAATGTTAAACAAATTCAAGAAAAGCAAACAAATCTATGTTGATCAACGTTTCCAAAAGTAAATCAGACAATAATTCAATAAGTGTCAAAGTGGATAAGTTTCCATTTTAAAACAGAGTTAATAAAGAAATTGTGTGCACGGTCCAGCGGTCTCAAGTCGCCCGAGAGAGAAGG